CATTTTTTCATTTCGAATTAAGTACCACGATACACTTTTATACATTCGCTACATCTACCCCGTTCATCGAGAACCGGTGAAGTAGAAAAGTTTCATCGAGAGTCCACTTCTTTCCAACCTCTGGGGAATTGCAATACCTAAAGCTTATCACAAATCTTAACTTCACATCAAGGTCCAAGAAAACGACAATTTCTCACATATTATTATGGCCCACATAGTAATACATCACTGAGAATTCACATACATTTCCTTAATCACCACCTGACAAGCATCTTATGGCACATGTGTAAAATAAGTGGCATTCACTCTTTTTCACAGTTAGTGAAATGAATGGCACTGCATGGAGTCCACCATAGAGGTGTATGAGTGTACCCACTTAGGTTCACTCTAATAGAGTCATTTAAATGTTCATCAGTCAGTCTTGTTCTGTATGTAGATTTCATGATATTCATGTCAGAAAAAGCTGCTTCATGTAGAACAGAACCAAATAAAGCAGAAATGTTCAGTGCTGCTTGGTGAATGTTCTTATAGTTTTCGGGTCTACAGATCCCTAGAAAGTTGGAGTTTTGCTGAGACTTAAGCTGAACATGATTTTGGAGATTTATAACCTCCATCTCCATCTCCACAGGATTGACACTGAACAGTTCAGCCATCTTTTTCCTTCTTCTTCTTCTTCTTCGTCTTGACATTAAATTATAAACCATAATAAATCAATAGGTCTAACCTCCCTATATCTGTGTGTGAAATTGTTCCTTCCTCAAAAACAAGAAACTAATACTTCTGCAGTCTAGCTGCAGCTTCTAGCAATGGTCTTCTGTTAAAAAAAGGAGTATTTACAACAGCATTATAAATACAAAAATAGTGCATGTGGGTGCACACTTACATTCTCTGTCTTACTGTTACATAAATCCCATGAATGTATGGGACTAAGTTAGCTTCATCATATCTCAATCAGCGATTAAGTGAATAATAAAGTTTCTATCGGGTCTGCCTGTCACTCATTATTTTCAGGGGAGGGGGGCGGGGCTTGGAGCAGCAGAGACGAGACGGTGATCGTGGAAGCTTTTTCCTCCTGCCTTCACAAACTTTACACAAGTATTTATCAACTGAAAATAGCAAGAGGACATTCATGCTCTGCAATCCAAGACTTGATTAAATCCACCAAAAACCTGACATGACGACAACGAGTGTTTTTCAAAAACCACAAATCCCTCCCTGTGTGTCTCTGAGCCGCAGCGACAGGGCCTGATTCAGAGCGGGTCATTCTGCTGTTGGTTCTGGACTGGTGTTGCTGGAGAAAGCAGACTGGTCCGTGTGTGGTGTTGCTGTGCCGCTGTCACGTCTGTTCCTTGATCACTGCGCCACGGACCAATTTGATATTCATGTGACAGAAACAATTCTAAAATCAAAAAACGTTGTTGTCCAGCCGCGGCCGTAAAATCAAGAAGCAACCTGACTATGCTATAATCGAAAATCGAGCGGTGAGCTATATACAAAGCTCATGTAAGATATGTAATCGACGTGATGGAGAGCCCTGCTCTACACTTGTACTATTTGGTCTTTATTGGGTGTGTTCACACCAGCCTTTTATAGTTCGGTTGAATCGAACCCTGGTGCGTTTAGTCGCTTGGTGCGGTTCATTTGGGTCAGCAGCATGAGAATAACCTGCCGAAAGTGCCGATTCTCCATCGCGGAGGGGTAGAAATTGCAGGGATTTGGGTTTTTACCCCCTTAATGTCTGACCAATGGTTGAACAGCATTTCCGAGCACATGACTTGTGTTTAAAGTTTATAGTCCGTTGGAGTTTTGCCAGTGTGAATGCAAACCGAACCTTCTGAAAAATGAAAAAATGTAACAAATTGTGGTCTGGTGCGCAGCAGAGAAGTGACTATTAGGTGTGAATGCACCCTAAAACTGAGTTTCTCCTTAAAGAATCCTGCAGCACTTGAAAACCTTGTGTTTACCAAAGATGTGCTCATAAGTTTCTTGTAAATAAGTAATTCAGCATGAAATTGACTTATCAGCCTTGCTTCTCTCAGTGCTTATATCCTCACTCTGATGCTTAAGATGTTTGCTCATCACACTTTCACTCAGCTCATGGAACCACGGCTCCGTAATGCTGCTCCCCGCCGCTCGTCTCTGACAGGTCAATGCTGTCGTCAGCTGGGACTGAATGACAAGTGACCTGCCTCACCAAATGAGCAGCACCTTGTTAAGCTTGTTCATGACGGCAATTATGGCTCTGAATTGTTTGTTGGCTCTGCCCGTGTTTCATGTCTATCTGACAGCCTGCTAACTGGCATAGAGATCCGTGATGTGACCAGCTAATGTCCAAACATAGATGTCACTACTAGAGTGTGGCATTTTTCTGACAGAAGGTGGTATGACTCTGACAGTTAGGGCTTCACATCACCCGACTAGCTCTATAAACCTCATTCATGTGACATATATGGATCGTCAAGTTAATCTCTTCAAATTACCCGATGTCTAAACAACAAGTGTGTCTGCATGTTCAGGCAACAGATACGCTCTCATTTGAATGTTTTTTGTCCGTTAATGTTTAAAGTGATATGCCTTGGCTTAGGCTGCGCTGTAACGGCCACCTGAAATGTTATCTTGGCAACATACATAACGCAGGTTAATGCCCAATGAAACTCCACGACTTTACCAGATTACAATCTTTTGAATGTTTCCTGTCCTCTCTCAAACTTTATTAGAGCCTAAAGGAAATTGATGCACCCTTGATTTTACACTTTTCATGGCACATGACAAAACCAAATCTTAAAACTTACCACAATAAGAAATTGTGTGTGAATTGTGCTTTCACAGATGGGTTAATCACCTCACGTTATACTCGTTAGTATTTTTACCTTTTTACAAGTAGGATGGACTTTAACTATAAGGCGTTTAAACTGGTTTCAAGGAAATTACCAGAACGTAGCACAAAACTAGTCGGTTATTTTGAAAGGGTTCATTTTGAAGACTACAAAAAACTCCAAGTCGGACTGGTATTATTTTAAATTGATAATCTACTTACAGTATATTACCAGCAAGTGATTGTTACCGTATTTTCCGGACTATAAGTCATGGTTTCTTTACCTGACTGGCTGGTCCTGCGATTTATACTCTGAAGCGACTTGTAGATCAAATTTTGTCTTACTGCGTTCAAACTCCGGCCAATAGATAGCACTGTATACAATCGTGACAACTGAAAACTGCTGTACCACCGAAGAAGAAAAAAGTCACGGCAACTGGGAAGATGCGCCACGTAACTTTCCAGGATGTTGTGGGATGAATCGACACAGCACACAGCATGGGCTTCAGTGACGACCGACACCATCCTCTCAGGATTCAGAAAGGTCTAATCGGAGCTGATTCTGATGGAGAGTCTGAGGACAGCCCGGAGCAAGACATGCTGATTCATCGACACCGGAGTTGGCTGAAGTGTTTTACGGCGAAACANTTTACCGGTGTATTTTTCATTATGATTCTACTTGTGATAGTCGGACACGACAACCTGTGCAGCCCATGTATTGATTCCATCCGATAGCTGCTATAATACAAAACAAAACGTCTGCCTCTCTCCACAATGATCAATAACAGTGAACGGATGGTCAAAGTAAGGTACAAATAAACAGAATCACACGAAGCCTGGTTAGTGTTGCCTGACTTTAGTGTGTGGTTGCGTTCTAGTCACTTTGCTCAGCGCTACTGCTTGTTACAACTTTTATTTGCCGTACTCGCCTTTAACTGTTAGCTCAGGTTAAACTCGCCCCCCTCCAACGTAAGCGTGACGTATGCGGTTCTTGCTTCTAGAGCGAAAACATTTTGGTGCTTGGTAAGCACCGTTTGTCGGTGCTTAGAGCCGGCTCCGCCGCGGTGTAAACAGGAACAAACGGTGCTTATCAGGCTCTAGCTCCGAACCGGCCTTGGAACCGCGTTGGTGTGAAAAGGGCATAAGAAAGTTATGTGCACCCCTGCTTATTAATAATAA